AAAACTTATAAAAACTAAAAATAATTTATTCAATTCAAATAATTGATTAAAATAAATTATTCAATTCAAAATATAATTTATTAAAAAAACTTAAATTCTGGTCACAAATGCGGAACCATGTCTTAAAAAGTGAATGGACCGTGGGAGGAGATAAAACTTAACAATAAAAAACGAAGGAAATTGTAACACATGTATTCTCCAATAGAGTTTAGTTTAGTTTACAAAGAAATATGTACATAAACGTGAGTTCAATTGGGACCCCAACAACTCAAATACATGACTTTTCTAAGGGATTCTTCGGAATGCTTCGTCTTCTGCTAATTTGTCATCAACTACTTGCTCACCGGGGCCATGGAAGAAGAGATCTTCTTGGCCTGAGAGAAGGATCCCATATTGTTCTTGGTGTGGTGATGTAGGCATCCAAGAGCGTAGTTCCATCTACAAAAACCTTGATCCTTCAAAACCTCAACTGCTCCAATGCTTGCAACTACGATCCAAGCTCTACTTGTCAAACTCATCCTCTATTTTGGATTATGAAACTTTTTTGTTTGGAAATTGGGCGACGAAGGTTCCACATAATTGATTATGAAACATTTTGGATTATGAACTCATTCAAATAATTGATTAAAATAAGTTATTCAATTCAAAATATAATTTATTCAGAAAATTATATCGTTTCCTAACTCGTCGTCTCGCCCTCGCCTGAAACTTTCCACATATTTGATGCATCAATCGTCGGAAAGCATAGACTATGCTCATCAGTGGTTTCGATGGTGCGCCCCTGGGACGATGATCGTGATGTGGCACGGTGACTGGATTAACAAAGCAAAGCCCTTATGAGTCACCACGGCGGTGCGCCCTGGACTCACCGCTCGCGGAAGCCAACAAAGTTCAAGCCTTTTGCATCGGGAGGAAGCTCTGTGACAAGCTTGATTTCTCGATTCACAGTGTTCCTTTCCCCTTTTCTCCACTGCTTCGCAGGTTGCGTAGTGCTACCCCTAAAAGTTTAAGAATACGGCAAGAAGCAATGTCAGATGCAGTTTGTTTGATGCGAAGGTTTGCGGCCATGAAATCTGGAGCAATCTTCAGACGCGCAGGTTTGTGAGAGAAATCAGATGCAGGCGACAATCTTCCTTCTTGTTCGTTCAAGAGAGAAAATGCAATTGAATTAGGTTTTTTAGGTTTTGGGGTTAAACAGGGGTAATTCGTGCCATTTCAAAATTTTTAAAAGGGCATTTTCGACTTTGTGTTGGGTCTGAAACGCATTTAAGCGCGTTAAGTGCCATGTTACGAACTTAAAATTTCAGATTTGAAAATAGATTTTAGATCGGTTTTCAGACATAACACCAAACATGTCTGGTGTCAGAAAAGTAAGTTTTTTAGACACCATACCTCTGAAAAGTGTTATCAAACGCCACCTAAAGTGTGGTGGGAGTGAGTCTGGTAATATGTGTAAGAGGTGAAACGTGGCGTGTAAATTTGGTTGTCCGGTGCTGGAGAGCAAGTGTAGAGTCCAAGTTTGGTTCTCACTAAAATGAAATGACAAAGAACAGAGTCGAGAGAGAAGCGGAAATGAGATTTTGGGTCTTTTGGGAGCTAACGAAATGAATTAATGTCCATCCCGTTAGTTACGCATGCATCAAGGCAAGTGTAGGAGCAGGAGGACACTTGGCGGGCTTTCATTGGGTGAGGCATTTTTGGGGTGCGAGGCAGTGGGGCACAAATTTGAACTCTCTTGATGCCTGATTTCCAATGTCTTTTTCTTTTCTATTAAAATTATCACACTACCCCTCCTCTCACGTGAATATTCTTCCTAGGTGCTCGTAAATTAGAAATACGCTATGAGAAAGGCATGTGTTCTCAAAGTTGTGTTTTTAAGAAATGACAACACATATTTTTGGTTCTGTTTATATTTATGGAGTAAACTTTTTGTATTTGTGTGGCTGCAAAACCGAAAAAAGCAATTAATGAARGTGTCTATGACACATAGGCACCATTAGGCAAYACATCAGAAAATGTATCAATAAAATATCTACCCGTTGGGGGAAACTCCAAAACGGAGCTTCCTGAAACAGGAGAGACGCACAGAAAGATACTTATGGATGCACATAATGAGACTTTTGTTGATGGGGCGCCTATGTGGCACATTTACTCAATAAACGTAAAAGAAACCACACACCCTCCAAAATCTTTATTTCTTAAGAATGAGTTTTGGAAATAGCATTTCCGTCTTGGAACAAACCATTTCTTATCTTAAATGTCTTCCAAACGCATTTCTCTTTTGGATGAATGTATGGAACACGAGAAACATTCTGTTGAATGATACCAAACGGGGCCATTTATTTAAAAAAAATAAAAAAAAGAATACTATTTGTTTTGACACGTCATTTTTCAAGCATGCATGTATTATATTTGTTAGAAGGAAAACTGTATTTGTTTATATGAGAAAAGGATATTACATCGAGCGAGATCAAGCTCCCAAACGAAAGACTGAAGGGACCAAAACTATTTCATTTAAACCCATACACAAATTTTTACAAAAAAAAGGCCACTCTATTTTAGACTCAAAACTACACGAACAAAGGAAATATAATAAAAAAAGTGGCCTTAACGCCTGAATTTCCGCAATATGCCAAAAGAAATCCCAAGATAGAACTTCCAGCCATGAAAGACCACACCTATGGAGAATAATCCTCCAAACGCTACAAGAGAAAGGACACAAACCAACAAATGATCGTGGGATTCTTGGTCTTGATGACAAAAAACACAAGAGAGATCACAAACACGTACTCCATGGGAACTCAACTGATTCTCAGTAGACAGAACCCAACAGTTAGCTAACCAAGCAATGAAGGAGTCATGGTTGTTGTCGCTGCCTAAGGCAATTCCATGTTGACTTCACCATGAAGGAGCCATGAGGAGTCGGCAGCCAAGCAACTATGTCCTCCTGGTTTTTTAAAATTGAGATGGGAAGAGTTCAACCCAAAAGGATTTAAGCAAGGGAAACCGAGACTCAATTGGGCTTCACCTGTGATCCTGGATCATACAACTTTCTGTAGCCATCCTTGAGGTATGAATGATTCCACACTGGGCGACTTCAGGGATTTCGCCTAGAATACCTTTGTCGTGCCAAGGATCAAACCATAACAATGTACTTTTATAATTTCCAATGAAATACCGAACATGAGGTTGAGCATCAATTGTGGAGTGGAACAATGTCCAAAGTTTTGATACGTATCAGCCAATAGTGTCATATCGGGGGCTTTTTGATACGCCCTTATAATGGGTGTTTTGGGTCAGACCATGTTCACGGGGTAGGCGGGCCTTAAACCGATTCCTTTGAATGAACCAGATAGTAAAAAAAAAACTTTAAAAATGGAAAAGCGAGCCTCGATATAGGCTGATACACCCCTACTGGCATATTGGCCTATATCGATATTTTGAACTTTGGATTAGAGCAGGCTATGAACTGCCCAAGCACAACAAGCTGCATTTTACATGTATAATTTAAAAATATTTGTTTTTCATTTTATGGTCATTTTACATGTATAATTTAAAAATATTTGTTGCAGATTAAATCCAAATATGATAAAAAAATGTGACATAATAATCAAATGTGAATGCAGATTTGAATTCAATTTGTTTACAGTTTTACTATCCGCATTATGTGTGGGGTTGGTTTAGATCCAAGCTAAACCTAGCCTATAAGAAAATAGTTGTTTGAGCCTGAAAATTTTGTAAGCCTAACTGGGTTTGGGCTAAGTTATAAGTGATCATCACTGAGTAGGAGTCTTATGATTCGTATCTTATAGTTGCATTAAGCAATACATAAAGCCATAACCAAATACAATGGAGAGAATGACTAATCAGTCCAGGTCARAATTTTGTAACCCCACCGTACAGGGGGGTGAATCCTTATCGTTAATTGATGCCAAATTTACGGGCAGGATGTGACTTACAGGGGGGCTACTAGTAGCCTACAGGCAGTGCATTCRGTTGCAGAGTACTTAACCAAAAGAAGAGTCAAAGAGAGTTAGAGAAAGACATTAGAAAGTAGGGATCGTTCCTTTAAACCTTTCAAAAGAAATGCAAGAATCTATCAAGTTAATATTTCTAAAGGAGTAAAAGGTGTAGGGAGTAGGACTAGGGATTCCTTGCCTTACGATGCTTGCCATTAATGGTATTCCTAAAGATAACACTAAAAATTAAGTTAGGTTGTAAGTAGGAGAGAGACAAACTAGTTAAGTAATAACTAATAAGTAATAAGTAGTTATATAACTCGGTTTGATTCGGTTTGGTTTCGGTTGTGAAAACCGAAACCAAACTAAACCGTCAGTTTACCATTTTTTGCAACCCGAAACTGACCATTGGTGAAGAAAAACCGGCTGACTCAGGTTGGACCAGACCAGGTTGGATCTTGTTATGAACAACCCTCATACAATGTGCAATTAATATCAACTAAGTCGCTAGTAATAAATGGAAATTGAAAAATGCAAAAAATATTAAAAAAAGGGTAATTTAGAGATTTAGAAAAATTTAAACGGTTACCAGATTTTTTTTTTCAAAAGATAAGTGACGGAATTCTAATGAAGGGGTCCTTTTCAGAATCTAAAAATTTAGGAGGTAGTTTAGGGGAATTGCCACTATTCCAAAGAGTACGTGTAGTAAATTTCCCCTTCTTTTTTCTGAATTAGGATCTCCTGCCAACAAACGGTTCCAACACTCAACCAACTTGATCTTACACCACATATCTCACTTAAGTCCACCTTGCTATGCACGATATGTACAGTGTCAGATGGTTGTTAGGGTGTTAGAACGTTTTTTTGTTGATATGCAATCTGAACTCTCTTTTCCTTAATTCTTCGTGGGCTAAACTAGGGCCCGTCACTGTCTACCAACAATATCTACCACCGCACATCTCATCATAAAATTGGGACCCACTATAAAAGTGATTAAGTGAGACTCGCCATGTATAAGATGTGCGGTGTGAGATCTTCTTCGTAAAGGGTCGGAACGTGTTTTGTTGGCAGAAGATCCTATATCGCTTCCCGTAACCATTTGCAGCGGGTTTTGATCCAAACAAACTCCCAAGTCTCCACTACCAGTTTGCCGAAGGAGGAAGAAAAAGAGAACAGGGTAGAATCATTATTGAGAAGAAAGAGATAAACATGGGCGATCCTTACTGGAGATATGGCTCTGCTGCAGATAGAGGTTTCCTTTTTTTCCTCCTCAGAGCTCAGTTTTTATTTTAAGCATCTGTGTATGTTCTATATTGTATCTTTTTTTTTTTTTTTTCATCTTCGTTCAAACATAATTACTCTAAAATCGCAAAACAGTAAGTCGAAATGTTTACTGTTGAATATTTTTGTGCGTTCTACTTATTTATTTGACCTGATTCATACTCCATGTCGGGTTCAATAAAGGTGCCAACGTTTTAATCAAGCAGAAGAGCTATGCAACATCTAAACCGAATACACAATCATTTGATAAGCACTGAATTTTCTCCTAGTTGGTTGCTGTTTTTAATCAGTTTTTTGAAGTTTATATTTCGTTTTCTTTTCTATCGCGAAAGTTCACTCACTCAAATACGGACTTATAAATAACTGAAACTCAAGAAGGAAGAGGTATTCTACATATTTCCATCTAATTAGACTATCCTACAATTGGCAGTGTATTGGCTATTTCTGCACAATCATTGGTAACTACTAATGACTTACGTGAAAATGTAAATTCTTGATTTTCAATTGCTCATGGCCCTATAAATGGCAATTTGACCTCTTTTTTTTGCGTATGTGATGAAGACATTTTGTTAATATTAGAAGGGTTGAGCTCAGTAGTCATCATCTTCTACGAAAAGATGACCTAGCAAAGCTTCTGGTTAGAGAGTAATGGGCCATACATAATAAAGAAAGACCCTCCCTGTATCTTGAATGTGTTTAACTTAAAGACTCACTGTCTGCGAGGGTATGCTTTGGTTGACAGTTCGGCAATAATGGCTACAAATGTTGTCCTTTTGCTTCAATGAGGGAATCATGGGCCTTGATTATTCGATTATCCATGAAACTTTTACTTCTAGATGTTGGCATCACATCTTTCTTGCCCTCAACTATTTCTCACAATGGTCATTGTTTGACATGATTCCGATTTCATTCATGTCACTAAAGATTTTTTTCTTGTTTAATTATCCTTTTTTCTTTTAAATGCATATCAGTTAATGATAGGGCTTACTTCCTCTTGTTGGTTATCCATTTGTGACAGAGGGTGTTCCAAGAACCAGTTTTCCTGGGTACTTGTCTTCTGACACCTCTTCGTTGGCATCTCATCGCTTGTGGAACTCCAATGATTTTCGAGGATCGTCATCAGAGTACCTGCAGAATGATGTAAAAATTACACATTGCTGTGACTTTTTGTGTCTTTATTCTTAATGTTTTTTTTGGTACACTTTTAATGGGAAACATATACTTTTGCTAATGCCAGATCTTACCACGACCCGGGTCTTATGGTTTAGATCATCTGACTGGCACCAACAGTCGTGTCACACCAGGATTTGGTGGGCTTTCAACTGGAGCAAGCATAGTGCCACCTCTAGAAGATCCAGCATTGATTAGCCAAAGACGGGATATTGCACTAGGCATCAGTCCTGGTATTCCTGACATACTTAATGAAAGGCCCAATTCTTTGAGAAAATCTGAGGGTCTGCAAGGAGAGGAATCAAATATTCTCTTTGTTGATGGACTTCCAAATGATTGTACTAGAAGAGAAGTAGCTCGTATCCTATTCATTCTTTTTTTTAGTTTTATGGCTTCTATTTTGTCATTTTTTGTTGCTTTCTACTTGTTCTGCTTTGTTCATTACATTTTACTCCTTGACCTTCTGTTTGAAGATCTTTTTCGTCCTTTCATTGGCTTTAAGGAAATTAGAGTTGTTCACAAGGAGCCAAGACGTGTATGTCTATTTATTTGCTTGTTTATTGAATTTTTATCTTGTCAAAACTGTTAAGTGGTATTGACTACCCAACTCATTTTTTCCTCCCATAACTTCCTTGCTGACTCAATTGTTTTGTAATGTAGGGATAGATTATGCTATTAAATTTCCAGCTTGTTCTATATATGTATTTTTTTTGCTTTTCGATTGTTCTTCTGCTATATATGCATGAAAATCTCCTAAAACAAACAAGCAGTTATACTGGACAGAGAAAACTACAATAATTCTCATATCTATTGACCTTGTTCTTTGTTTATCACCAAACTATTGAATTAAGATATTGGTTTACAAATTAACTAGTTAAGAGTGGCTATCTAAATGGATTTAGCATGAAGTCAGGTGACCTAAATATGCAGTCTTTTTTGGACAGCTATTTTTAGTGATAGCAAATGCCATTTGACCGAATAGTCCTACTTTACTAGTATTCTAAGTGTTTCAAATGATTTAACTTGATAGTTATCTTTGTCACTAGATTGTATAAGTAGAAACAATAAAGAAAATATCACAATTATATAGAATATATTATACTGCAAGTGAACCAAGTGAATTTTCTTTCATATGTAACATTGCAAAGTTATTTCTTGGCTACTTTATATAAAGGTTGTGCTGTTATTTCTTAAAAATTTCAAAATCTGCTTTTATGTGGAGAATCTATGACTTAATGTGAAAGTCAACAACCATATTTTTCTTAAGAATACTGAAGAATATCTGGTTTGTTGCAACTTTTTGCATATCATGCTTAATGCTTTCATCCATGTATTACCAGTTGAATTTATCCACGGGTAGGGGGTTCATTTATCTTTCCCCCTTTTGTTGTGTGTTTTACCATCTCCATGTAACTCTCCTAAGCCTATTATGCAATCATATAGTGTTGGTCATTCCCCTTTTAATTACTAAAGCAGAAATGTTACTGGAAATAAATCTCTCACCCTTCCTTGGTAGGAGTCTTCTCTGTGTATGAAGCTGCTAAAAGCCCAATTACTGTTTTCATTTCCATTCAGTAGAATAATATTTATTCCTCATGGCTACAATTAGCAAGAGACCTTCCCTCAGACCTCAATGGGATGTTATTGCAAAATAATGACTGAACAAGAAGCATCAAGAGTAACCAAGGAAGACAGGAGCATATTGTAGAAGTTATTTGTTAGCTCCACTAGCTTCTTACCCGAAGCTGCTAAACCTAGAGGAAGGAGCCTTTTCTGCATAGCTACTAGATTGAAGATTCACCTTTTATGGTACTATAAACTGATAAAGCATCAAGAAAAATGTGTTAGAAAGATGATGTAGACTTATGTGTTAACCTTGAAAACTACAACTTTGGGTTTTGTAGAGGGTTAAGGGATGAAGAGCTAGGTTAAATGGAAGGCTTGTTGCATCTCCTCGATACAGTTTACTTGGAATCTGATAAACATGATAGACGGGTTTGGGCTCCCTATCCTAAAGGTTTGTTTTCTTGTGACTCCTTTTTTAAGTCCCTTTGTCAGTCTCCCAATCCATAGGATTTTCCTTCAAAGGAGATTTGGAGTAGGCCTAACCCCCCCCACCCCCCCCCCCAAAAAAAAAAAAGTGCCTTTTGTTGGGAGATGTTTTATGGAAAGAGAATTGATGCTTTTTATGCAAATCTCATAGTGAGAGCTTTTACCACTTACTAATTTGTTGCTCTTTTTTTGGACATTTGGGATTGGTGTTTCTCTTTGTTTGGATGCAAGTGGGATCTGCCTATGAAGGTTAATATGCTCTTCAACTCATCCACTTTTGCTTGGCCTAAAAAGAGAGGTAGGATCATGTGGAGATGTATGAGGGCAGCTGTGATTTGGACTTTATGGGAAGAAAGCAATGCCAGAATTTTTCAAGAGGAGAGAAGCAAGCAAGAGATCAAAGATTTTGTGTTGATTAGAGCAATACATTGGATTAGAACATGGGATATATTTCACCAATTCTCCTTCAATAATATATGGAGGAATTGGTTGGTGGTGACAAGAAGCTACTCTACAAAGCCAAAGGAAGACTTGGTATGGATCCCTCCTCCTGAAGGATATTGGAAGCTGAACTTTGATGGGAGCAGCCAAGATAACCCAAGTCTATTTGGAGTAGGAGGGGTTCTAAGAGATAAACAAATTTGTGTTTTGTTTTGGGATCAGTGTGGGCAGGGGGTTCAGCTGGAGCTGAAATTCTTGCTGCTTTGCAAGGAGCCTAGATTGCAAGTGAGATGAATGTGGAAATGATTGAAGGTGATACTAAATTAGTAGTAGGGTGGATGAAAGATCCGAAGACTGAAATGTGGTGATATAGAAATGAAATCAAGAAATTCAAATGACCGTTTCCAATAAAAAATCAAGAAATTCAAATGGTTAAAAGGAATATGAATGTGAGAATACAATGGGTGAGGAGGTTGGCTAATGCATTGGCTGATTGTTTAGCTATAACAAGGGATGAATAGGGATTCATTAAAATAGAGTTTTAAAGGCGTGGGAGGTTACAGTGTTTTAAAGGGATGAATAGGGCTCCAAGTGAGGCCCCCCCCTTTTCTAGTGGTATGCATCTTCATTCTTCCAAATATAAAAGATTTTTATTAAAAATAAGGAAAAATGAGGTCCTCCTTCCCCTTCTCCCTCCTTCCTCCTTGTCCCCCCTCCTCTTAAGTAGGCTTACGCCTCTTGCGTTCTGAACTATGCCTCATGCCTCTAGGTAGTGGAACGCCTCACGTCACACCTCTGCGTTTTAAAACATTGCATTAAAACATGTCAACTTCTTAGCTGAAGCTAATAAATCTAGAGGAAGAAACCTTAGTAAAGAAGCGTCTATATTCTCAGTCCACCTTTCTCAAGGCTCTGGGTATCTAGGACAAACATTCAGCAATAGTCTTCTAGTGAAAAGAATTATATTTTTGATGATTAGTCAAAATAATGGTGACTTCAAGTTATTGATAGAGAGCCCAGGACTATACGTGTTTAATTTCATGATGATGTTTTATGCATTACAACTCCTATGGACCTTTGTCAAATTATCTTGGGAAAGTGATGGATGGACAGGGGAAGTGGTGCAAATGTGAGCCTAGTAAAATTAGTATAGTCTTTGCCAAGGTTCAAAATTTCGTCACGTATCAGCCCGTATCGGTTGATTCATATCGTTCCAGCAAGTTTTCGGCACGGTACATGGTACCAAATTGAATGTGCCATATCTATTCGTCGTATCGAGGCCGTATCGTGCCCGTATCGTTGAGTATCAGTGCGGTAGCGTATCGGCTGATACAATACGATTTTACTATGGCGGAAACACAAATAAAACTCCCTTTGAAAGAGGGTTTCTAAACCCATTTCAGAAGCCCTCTTTCTTTCCCAAACCCTTCAAAAAGCTTTTTAACCTTTTTAAAGACTCAAATCTTGTAAAAATTTGCCAAAAAATCTATAAATTTGCAAGATTCAACAAGTTTTTCAAGGTTGTGAAAAAAGGAATGAAACTAAATATGTTTTTTCAAATTTCTTTTACCATTTTCAGCCAATGTTAGAAAAGATAAGGGGAAAGAAAGTGGTTTGCCCCCTCCCCCAGACCCCCCCCGTCCCCCTTTTCGTTGTAGCCTAATTTATTTTTTTGAGTTAGGGGGGTCTTGCTCCGCTTCGACAAGACCCCCCTTTTAACAACTACTGTGCATATTTATTTTTCTTAATATAAAAGTTTTTTATTAAAGATAAAGAAAAAAAATGAAATCCCCCCTTCCTCCTTCCTCCTTCCTCCTCTTAAGGAAGCTTACACCTCTTGCATTCTGAACTATGCTTCACGCCTCTAGGTAGTGGAATGCCTCTGTGTTATAAAACATTGATATTTATTTATTTTTTAATTTTTAGAATAAAATATGCAAAATAATTATTTCATCTATTATGTCCATAAATCCATTCAATTTTTTGTTACATATTTACTTTTCTTAATTTTAATTTAATTTTTAGAATAAAATATGCAAAATAATTATTTCATCTATTATGTCCATAAATCCATTCAATTTTTTGGTACATATTTACTTTTCATAATTTTAATTTAATTGTTAGAATAAAACATGCAAAATAGTTATTTGAATAAAAATAAATAATTATTTAGCTTTTAGAAAATTAGAATAAAACATGCAAAATAATTACTTGATCTATTATGTCCATAATTAGATAGTATGTTTCTATTCCCAACTTCCCGTTTATTGATTATAATATGTTTTTTCATAAAACCCACTAAAATGTGTTATTTTTATGCATAAATAGCTCAATTATGTCTTATATTTAGTGATATTGATGTTTATTTATGATTTATTAGAGTATTCATAGCATTTCCATGTGTTTCCATGAGTATCTTAATTTTTCGTCCGTATCCATGCGTATCCAAGGCGTATCCCGATACATCTCTTAAATTTGCCTTTCTGATACGCATAGCGTTTCCGATACTTTGAACCTTGGTCTTTGCACGATAGCTGAAAAGTTATTCTAGCAGGAAGATTCTGAGGAAATACTCATTATTGAAGAAATTGTAAAAGAAAAGAATGCGGAAGTGATGGGTTATTTGGAAATAAAGCCAGAAATCATATTGAATAATGATATTACTTATTTGTCTCTTTATTTGAGGAGATTTATGACACGGTCAAATTGAATAAAAAGTTTCTTTGTGGTTCATTGCAGTTGTAGAACTAAAATACAAAGCTTGCAATTTAGAAAGCCAAGATCTGTACATGGTATGAGATTTTCAGCAACTGTGAGGCTACATACATAATCTTCAACTTTGAGGATAAGAGTAGGATACTAGAAGACTGGTGATGGACTGTTATATGTTCATGTCAAATTTAAAGATATGTCAAGGGCTTCTTTTGGGTCAGACATTTGATTTTCTTTTGAGATGGGGGGGGGTATAATTGTAACGATGTCATTTGATTACCTTTTGAGATGTATATACTTATTATCACAAAAAAAGCAATTGCTTTATTTTATTAAGAAAATGGTTGGTTATTGATCAAAAGAAAATGTGTATAATTGCCTTGTTTTGATTGGTTTGAGTTAGTTCTCACTTCTCAGCTGAGAAGTGCTTGTCATTGTTCCTTTTTATTTCATAAGGTTTCCTTTTTTCTCTTGTTATAAAAAAGGTCTTCAGCTTTGGAGAGAATGGTGGGGTTTAATGATCAAGAAAGTGCATAAAATTTTTGTCAACCTTCACTGTATCAAATAAGTCTCTTCAACATCCTAACTTATGCAAAGTAGGCGGTTTATATTTTCTTTTTTCCCTTTGATAATTGAAGAAAATCATCTCTGAAAGAAAAATAGGAAAGGAGTTTTATAGGCTTGTGCAAATACCACAAGCCAAAAGTGCCAGGGCAGTTGGTGTAAACTTAGGAGCAATCTTTTCCCCCTGAAGAGTCGGTGATTGATGTAGGATGAGTGGTGAAAATATTGGGTTTCTTAGGTTTGTCACTTTCTTCCCTGATTGAAGTGGTCAAAACACATCTATTTCTAGCCATGAGGGGCTTTATTTTGTATGGTGGCTACTTATAGAGCTGGGGAATTGTTTTCTGATTGCCTTTCACTACTCAGGGGTAATCTTTTCCCCTGGAGAGGTGGTGACTGATGTAGGATGAGTGGTGAAAATGTTGGGTTTCTTAGGTTGGTCACTTACAGTGGATATGGCTTTAAATAGAATGGGTTGGCAAAACAGGAATCATGTAGCCGATCCCATATAGTTGGGATAAGGCATGGATGATGATGATGAGGTTTGTCACTTTTTAACCTGATTGAAGGGGTCAAAACACATCTGTTTCTAGCTTTGAGTGACTTTATTCTGTATGGTGGCTATCTGTAGAGCCAGGGGGTTGTTTTCTGATTGCCTTTCACTGTAGAGCAGTGTTGCATGGATTTGTACACAAAAATCAGAACCTGACATACGTTGGTGTTTGACTCAGCAAGCCAGAATGTGTAGGCATGAGTGCCACCTAGGTTGTTTGAAATCTTTATTGTGACTTGTGACAATAAGAAATATGTTCAAATGCTTGGTCCGCAAATATGAAAGTTTAAATTACCAAAGCGCAATCTTCTCTCACAGAGACAACTGCTAGAATTTAGGTAATTTTTTTTATTAATGATACAATTAAGGACAGTTATTTTTACAGGACTCTGCAGTTAACATTAACTAGGGTTGATCATCCATTTCGCTCAATGCAGTTATAAGAGATCTTATATATATATATATACATACATATATATATATATATAAAACAATTTTTCTACAACAAAGTTTCTGTTTTTTATTGTGTAAGCAACAAAGTTTCTGTTATTAGCATAACTTATATTTATTATATATAACTTTGCCATTTCTCTTGAAAACCTGGCTTTAGTGATAGGGCTTCAAAACTTGTATTCTTGAATTGGTATTTATTTGCAAAATGTAACATTATTAATATGAATTAATTCTTTTGCTGTTTTGTTGCATATTTCTCTCTCTCTCTCTCTCTCTCTTTTATTTCTTTATTCAGTTCATTGTGAATCTCTTAAACTGCAGAGTGGGGATAAGGCAATGGTCTTGTGCTTTGTTGAGTTTGATGATGCAAAATGTGCTCTAACTGCTCTTGAAGCTCTTCAAGGTTTGTCAAGCATTTTTAATAATCTCTGATCTAGCTTTTAGCTTATTTCTTATCAAAATAGTTCCATATTTATATTGTGCTTAATCTAGTGTGGTTTTATTGGTGCCCAAACATTGACTTGGACTGAAATTTGGGACCTCCCGCAGGTTACAAGTTTGATGACAAGAAACCAGATTCCCCTGACTTGAGAATCCAGTTTGCACGATTTCCTTTCCGTTCACTGACTGATCGTGAAGATCGACGACTTGGAGTTCCGCGGTAATCAATAGTCAGAAAGCTCAGCTTTAATGCTTGATTTGGCCAAGGATATTCCTCTCTTTGAAAGACTACCGGAGAACATAGAATCAATGATTTCTAGAGAGATATACTTTGGGTATTTACGTAGATATTTGGCCAATGTAAGAGGCCTTCGGGAGAAAATCCATGACGACTATTGTGTAACACAGTTGTCACTCTGTAGTCGTAGCATTGAATATTGGTGACTGCCTGCTGAACAAATTCATTTATTTTACATGCTAAACTAATGGGTACATGAAAATGCTCCTCGTTTAAAGGGGTTCTTTAGTGCCTTGTTGCCGTTAACTAGCAATATGCTATACTCAAAGTCAAAGGTGGACTTCCATCCAAGGAGGGTGAGGTTCTTTGGTGTGAGTTACTGAACTGTTAGTAGGCATGTTAGCTTGCCCGATACATGTTTTCTGCCATTTTCCCTTTCTGTTTTGGGCTTTTGGTTAATTTAACCAAGCTTAGGGTCTGTTTGGTTTGCAGGAATAGGGGTCTGGAAAGGGCTATTCCGATTTCCAACTGTTTGGTTGAGCGGAATCGGAACCCCATTCCCATTCCTGCTGGAATGGCATTCCTCCATTTGAGGGAATGGCCATTCCCTGCCCCTCCCTTGGGAATGAAATCCCATTCCCGTTGATTTTAATTCTCATCCCATTCCTGTCTGAACCAAATAGATTTATGGGAATGGACCATTCTGCCTTTGATTATGGAGGATTTTGATTCTGATTCCGATTTCAATTATGAACCAAACGGGCCCTTAATTATTGGTTTTGGTTTGTAGGGGTTTTACTCTCTACTCAAACGCAATGCTGACTTTGGGGTAATAAACTCTTGGCCCTTCTACCCACATAGCTCGGACAGCAACCAAAATTACCACCAATTGCAAATTTGCAGTCTACGGTCTACCTTTTCTGCTCGTTCCCGATTCACTTATGGATGCTAAAGTGCTAAACATGTTTTTTTGTGCATTTCCTTTCATTTGCGAACGAGAGTCCCTTTGTCCTTGGCCGTACATGCGGAGTCCGTTTCTTTCACATACTAGATGGAGGATAGTCACGTACATTTGTTTATTTTTCAGTAAAATGACAAAACAAAAGTCAAAAGAAGGTACGCCTGTCTGCTTCCTCCTCACTTTCCAATGTAGCAAGTCTCAGCCTTAATCTCTCTGGGTCCAAAGTTTCAGCTCGAGATCATTTCAAGGATGCGTATGTTTTTTTGCACATGCCAGTAAAAGAGAAGCAAAAGCAATATACTTCTACAGGGTGTAAGATTTTGGTGACATATAAGCTCCATGGGCTTCCTCAATTCATCTTCCTTGTAGGAAAAATTTTCAATTCTTATTGGCATCTATTGCATGCTCGGTGTTTTCCTTAACCGCAGTGTCTTATTTCAATAAGCTTCTTTATTTTCTTTCGTTACATAATACTTATTTCACTCTTCAAATATTCTCAAAAACGGTGCCACTTCGTAGTCACATCGGATATCTAATATATATAGCTTTCAGGCTACAGATCCTATTATTGAGTTACATGTTTTTTTTTTAAATTTAGGCACATGGCATTTTTTGAGAAGTTGATATTAAAGTCCACAACCCACAACCCACTATTAGGCTATAACTCCCCACCATTCAGACACATAGCCTTCTTATTTTTCTGGAAAGCTAGACACTTGACATTTTCTGAGAAGTTGTTGTTAAAGCCCACAACCTACTACCACAATTTTTAAGGCAAGTGGTTTTTTCATTTTTTAGAAAACTAGACACGTGGCAATTTCTGAGAAATTCTTACTAAAGCCTACAACCCATGACCCACTATTAGGCTACAACTCCCCACCATTCAGACACACGGCCTTCTCATTTTTTTGGAAAGCTAGACACTTGACATTTTCTGAAAAGTTGCTGTTAAAGCCCACAACCTACTACCACAATTTTTAATCCATTCCTAAAAAAATGCAGAAAATGCAAAAATGGTTATCCACAACCACTTCTGTCTACATTCTATTAATCTCAGTTAATCATCATTAACCCTCTACTTATCATAACAAAAGAAAATGATCCATATTCTAATAATTATTGAAAAGATATCTTTTGAAATTTTAATAATTATTAAAAATATTAATAAATATAATTTAACATTATTGATTTCATAATGTAAATTTAACATTACTTATTCCCCGTAATTAGTACGGGGTCATTCATTAGTTCTCAATAATATTAAGGCTCCATTCATTTTTATTTTAACCATTTATCCGGGTAAATGTTTCTTGGAATACATGGGGTAAGTGTATTTACTTGTATTTTTTTAGGTGAATGAGATAATAACTATTTTATCCTTAAAAAGGGACGATATTGCCTCATCGACAATTTTCTACCATGGTGAAAAAAGTTATTTATCCACTTCACCACTTGGGAGAAGGGGTATTATGTATACAGGTAAGTGATAAGTGATATTCAGAGAGAATAACTTTTTCATGGGTCTTGCATGAATTCGTAAAAAGAACATAGAATTATTGGTCAATGGAAACTATTTTCCCATTAACCAAAAAAAAAGAAGGAATGGGGCCTAAAAAGCACATTGTTTGGTTAGTTATTTTTTGAGAAAATAGAAAAAAAATGCATAGCCTGATTCTCAAAAAATGGCCCACTTTGGGAAATTTTTTCTTTTACATTTTTTTTTCAATCTATCAAAACTAGACCGAATTGGAAAAACTGGGAACCGATCACTAGCYAGTTTTGTTTCACCCCAAAACTGTCTTTTGGCCAAAAACTGTTGATTTGGTCAGCGAACCATTGACCTGGGCAGTCGAATCGTCGGCCCAGACAATGGTTTTTGGTTGTTTTTTGTTTCTAAATTTTTAAATTTTAAATTTTTTTTGTTAGAGTGGGCCATCCATTCGGACCAAACGGCCAAACCGTTTGACTTGGGAACTGGAGCCCATAACGGTTTCATGTCTGGTCTGGTTTTAAAAGCCTTACCAAAACATTGCATGGTATGGTCCCTGGCGTGGCTTTATGTGACGCCCATTGGAACAAAACACTTCCAAACATAGCCATTGGAATCAAACACCTAGGGGTGTCAACCGATTGATTGGTTTTGGATTGGATCCAATTTGATCCAAATCTTATCAAATCAAATTTGGATAGTCCATTATAATTATTGGATTGAGTCAATCCAAAATAAATTGGTCCATATTCTTATTGATCTGAGTTGGACCTAAACCAAATTTCCAATAATCTGATCATGAGGCCAAACCCTTGTCCAATTTGAAACCGATCATAATCGAAGCTGGCATAAAATCACTTTTATGAAAAGTACTTTTAGGAAAGCACTTTCACAAAAGTACTTTTAGGAAAGCACTTTCACAAAAGTACTTTTACGAAAGCACTTTTATAAAAGTACTTTTTATAAAAACACTTTTATAGAGGTACTTTTTATAAAAGCACTTTTACAGAGGTACTTTTTATAAAAGCACTTTTATGGAAGTACTTTTTATAAAAACACTTTTATGGAAGTACTTTTATGAAAGTACTTTTACGGAAGAGCTTTTACAAAAGCAATTTTATAAAAGCACTTCTATAAAAATACTTTATAAAAACATTTTTACGCACTTTTATAAAAGTACTTACGAAAGTACTTTTGCAAAAGCACTTCTACAAAAGAACTTGTATGGAAGTATTTTTATAAAAGCACTTTTACAAAAGTGCTTTTTCAATACCAAAAGGGTAYATTTTTATAATTTCAGATTTTCTTCATTTTAATATATTTTTGTAATTTTTTATATATTTTTTGATATTTCATTCGGTTTGGATTGATCCCAATCCARTCCATTTACATTTTAATGGATTGGATTGGATTTGGACTGGATTTGGTCCTGTCCATTTGAAGTGGACTCAAACTGGATCGGGTTGGACCAAATCCAGTCCAATTTACACCTCTACAAACGCCAACTACCATATGAAGACAATAAATTAACAATCTTGATACTGTGAGTAGAGGTCATCGACTGCCAACAAATTCCTAATTAATTAAACAGTTGAAAGGTACGAAATTATGTCAAATGTGTTATTTCTTGTTTTTTTTTTTGAGGAAATGTGTTATTCCTATGACTTTTTTATAAAGCCATTTAATTTATAAGTGCTGCACATGCCAAAAACCTAATCATCCTTAAATTCAGCCGTTTCCTAATGATGGACCACCCTAAATATATATATATATATATATAGACAATTGTGATGAACAACCTTAGAGTTCAATTAGGAATAGGTACAGATACCGGCAATTAATTGTTAACCACCACCTACTTGATTGAACAGCACATTCCCTTGTTGTCTGAGTGTTATTGCAACACAAAAGTGACATAACTAATTTACCAGAAATGTACACATGATGGGCCACTTCTGTGACGTGCCATACTCGACAATGACAAGAGTCGGATCGTCATAGACTCATAGCCAATGTCAGCTATACCAGATAAACTTCAGTTTTTTTTTTTTGTTTGCAAATTGATAAATCCCTTGAATTTAGTTTTCTTCTGTATTCTTAGCTTTCTCATATGGGATTTCTAGGGTATGGCACGACTTCCCTGCTCTTTTCATTGTCTTGTTTTGAATCATTTTCATCTTAAAAAGTGAGAATGCTTAGAATTCAAATACAAAATTCCTGAAAGTGTCAATCCAAAACCTCTGGATTGAATCAAATTACTGGTTGAATAATAATATATTAATATTTGGAAGCGAATCTGATGATAGTAAAGAAACAGAACTCATTCAGCTGAAAAATAAATGGGGGGATTCGTGGAAAAGCGCTTGACACGAGTCTAGTGAACTGCTGCACTATGCAGCTTATATGATCAGTATCATACACATGATCAGTTATCCCCAATTGACGAACACTCTGTGGTGGACACAGGCCCTAGACCACGGAGCAATTGGACTTCACATATTCATGCTGTATAAGATAGTTCAGAATAATAGAGTAGAGATAATTTACTGTGTCATGTAACTGACCCCATATAGTTGGGATAGCTTCTTTTGTCAAAATTAATTATTAGAAGTTTGGAACCACCTACTCATTAACCACATGCTCTTCACTCTAAAATCCAACTCCCCAAAATGTTTCAATAATATTACTCTGCACTTTCACTCCCCCATACCTACCTCTTGAGAAGGTATTAACTAAGAATATTTTGGTCTGGAAGACCAAACAAATGAAGAATATTTAACACAGAACTCCCCATCCACCTCTGTTCTCTTTATAATTCCTTGAATTAGAATCCAAATACCAACATATTCCCTACAAGATATACGATAGTAACTAATAGAAACAGGAAAAAGAAAAGATAATGCACTTGTAGCTTGGGACGAAGCTTGTATCCCGAAATCCAAAGGTGGTATGTGGATCTGGCGGTTCGTCTCGGAGAGGAGAGGGAGCTAATCCAAAGCACGGGGAGGAGGAACTGGGCTGGATCACAATTCACAAACCCTATCTCACAATCCTATGGGACAAGTTGCTGGAAGGGTATTGTGAAAAATCTGGTGTCTTTTCTCTTAGTGGTGTTCATTAAAAGTTAGTAACCGGCGAAAAGATCCGACTCTATAAAGATTTATGACATTTATCGAGCTGGCCAGTGAGTGACTGATAAAGATGTTACCGTACGGAGCTATTATGAGGTTTTGGGAAGTCAGACAGGTCAGTTAGTTTGGACACAAAGACACAGAAGAAATGAARAGGACTGGGAACTTGAGCAGTTGAGCTCTGTTTCAGCAAATTATAGCTGTCCTTCCCAACCGGGTGGGATTGGCAGAAGGTGGTGGCAACTGGCAAGAGCATAACGAAGGGGCCTGAACAGTAAAACCGTTCTCACTTGTTCCCGTAGTGCCATGGAAGTGGATTTGGGAGGCGGGTGTCCTCCCATCTAAGGTGTGTTTCTTTGCATGGGCTGCTATTCTGAATAAAACACAAACCATCGACAATCTGATGGCCAGAGGATTGACCATGGTTAATCGTTGTTGTTTGTGCTGAGGCTGCGTGGAAATCGGTTGATCGTCTTGTACTCCATTTCCCCTTCTCTCTTGCTGTTTGGTCCAGTGATATCTGCACCTTGTTCTCTACTTGGCCTGATAATGATTTTAGTAGGGGCGGAAGGATGCTTTGGTTAGCCTCTCCGCTAGTCATTTGTTGGACACTGTGAGGGGAGAGGAATAGTCGGATTTTCAGAGATGGTGCCTCTCAGGTGGAAAGGATTTTCTGGTCAAATGGTTGTCCATCATGAAGGAGTTCYGAGGCCTCTCTTTCTCCCATGTCTGTGAATGGTGGAGGCAATTAGTTTGGGTTTCCACCCCATTTTTTAGAGCTTTCTTGTATATGCTTTGTATAGCTCATACTGATTATCTAAGCCTTGTATAGTTCATACCGATCAGTTTCCTATTCTTTCTCAGAGGGGCTTCTTTTGTATCTATCGGGAATTTCACCCTTTTATCAATACAAATACATCATTTACCTTTAGGCTCAGTTTGGGTTTCCACCCCATTTTTTAAAGTATACAAAATATAAGGTTTTTCACCAAAAAAAAAAAAGAAGCACAGTTGATATCCTTGAAAAATCACATTAATAATTTTCCAATCCCATGATCAATGCACCTTAGAAATTTTCAAGTAGTGGTATTTACTATTGTTATTATTATCCCACTTCCTAACTAACTTATTCATCAAGTAAATACTCTCTAATGATATTGATCCTCCATGACATATTTCTTTTCTATGAGGTACATCAACTAAAGGCTACTTATTATCAACTGTAGGGCAGTTGACACATTAAAGGAGGCATAAACATTCAGATCTATTACTTCACCTTTACAGGTGCAGTAGTTAAACCAAACCTGGATCAACATATGATTATGATTGTTTGGCAATATCAGAACAGTGATCATCATCATCATCTAAGCTTTGTCCAAACTATATATATGGGGTCTGCTACATGAATCCTGTTCTGCCATTCCAATCCTGTTCAGTACCATATACACTGTTAAATTTCGGGCCCTTAAATCATTTCTCACTACATCAAACCATGTCCTTTTTGGCCTGCTCCTAGCTCTTTTAGTCACTTCAACTTGTAATAGATCACCTCTTCTAGAAATAACCGTAAGCTTTTATTTAAACTGCTCAAATTTAATTTACAAAAATGCTAAATAGGGCACAAGCGTATCACAAATGACTACCTTCCTGCTTCACATGCTCCTCTGTTATCAGTATTAAAAAAATTCAAAACAGAGCACAATGTGTATCACAATGTGTTCACTCCAAACAAGTGAACACATCAATCTGACTCCTTGCATGTCATTTTGAGTCCCACAGGCTACATTCTATGTTTGATTTCAAGGTCAAGCACACCCGTTTGGGCCCATATTTCACGCAGTTCTCTTGTTACAGAAGGACACTGGCTAAACAAATACTTATCACACAACAAGAAATGGAGAAACTTCACTTGGTTCACTGCATAGACTAGGGTAGTTTACTCATCCTACTGGTTTGAACTGATGACAGCCATCAAGAGAGAAAGTGCTGGAAACCACTGAAGCAACAGGATGTTGTGGATATAAAAGACCTATGAATTGCACTCAGTCAGAGACAAACTAAACCTGGAATAATTTGCAATCTTAAATATTTGTTCTCATTAGTCCATGACAACAGAAGATGAGAAGAAGCTTCTGAGAATTGGATCAGCTGATATGCAAGAAGTGTTCAACTCTATAAGCTTAGATGCGTTCTCATCATACAGACCAATCAAGAAATCAAATAGCGATACATATATAAAGCAATTTATTAGAGCATCAAGCGTCAATTGCTGTTATGTTTAATAGTTAAGAGTGCCAATTACTTTGTTATGTAAGCATCTGTTACCAATGAACAAACATTAAATCATTACCAAAAAATAGAACATGCAATGAAGATTAATGATCTATGTGAAAAATAATGGCATACTATAGAAAAGAATATCAGATTACCAATCTCATTGGCTTCTTATGGGTAATTGAATTGATGACCCAAATTACATCATTATTTGTTTGTCAAGGATGGAAACAATTTCAAACTAAAAGGGCCATTCATCTATTTGTAGGAGGGGCAAATGAATTCTTTACAGAGCCTCTTCGACAAATTGGTAATGGATTACAATAGTATTATTCAAAGACACGACTCTAAGAAGCCGTAGTCAAAAGAATTGCAATCTCAAAGGATCAAAATAAAACAAATAGGGGAACCCTATAACTACTGGAAAAATGCGGTGCCTGCAAGGCCATGGTGTAGGAGATTGTGAGCAATGTTATCTCTAGTCTGCATTGAACTCACCGATCTGAGGTTGCTCTCAGGGACCATCTCATCATCAATAAGCTCAAACTTCAGCTCAGGGTCCACTACTTCATTCCTCATCTCACAGATGTTGTGCAATACACAGCATGCCCCAAGAACCACCGGCAAGTCTTGGAGTTTCACCTCTGTCCGCTTCTGCAGGCAACTCCACCTCCCCTTCAATCTGGAGAATGCTTCCTTGGCAACACGCTGAATCTCCCCAATTTTCTCATTGAAAGCATGCTGGGTCCAAGTAAGGTGCTGATGGGTATAAGGCACCAAGACCCAATCCATTAGAGGGTATCCAGAGCTCCCCACAATCCAGACACCCTTCAAAAATCCTGCATTAGCCCGCTGATAGAGTGCAGACTTCTCCAAAACTTGGTCATCGGGCATTGAACCAGGCCAACCAATGCAGACATCTGTAAACACTCCTCTTGGGTCAACAACTCCCTGAACTGTAATCGAGTAAGAAGTCTTCTGGTTACGCTCTGTATGCCGTTTATTGAAATAAGCGGCCACACTGATCTTAGGAGCAATAATTGGGATATGGGTGGTGTACATGGAGCCAACCACATTGGGTATTCCAGACACGGATTCGAAATCATCTTTGATATTCTTCAGTGCTTCCTCGTCAGGCCATTGGAGAAATTTGGGCATGAGAACCGTTTTTATGGCCGAACAAACCTCGAGAACGAGTTTATGGCAAGTGGATATACCCAAACCAAACCGCTTAGACACAAGGCGAAGGGGCTCACCTGTGGCCAATCTCCAGATACAGACAGCAACTCGTTGGTGAACAGGAATTGCAGCACGAAGCATCGTATCCTCTTTGGCAACCACCGAATTGAGCTCCTCGCATATCATGTCGAAGGTAGCGCGTCCCATCCGAAATGCCTTACGGAATTCTTCTTCAGGAAAATCAGGGTGATTACATCTATCCCACCAAGCCTGTGATCGGTCCTTTACCCATAGCCTGCGGTGGTGGCCAGCCGTAGCGCCCGCACCGCCAGATTGAATTGGGGCATCAGAATTGGCCTTAGCAGACGCAACAGAAGCGGTAGCAGCAGCAACAGCAGAAGCCGAGAGACGAGACCTCTTGGTGCGCAGCTGCTCATCCGATTCCTCTAAATCAGAATAATAATCCTGAAGATTGTTATAATAATTGAGCATAGCTTGGCTCCTCTGTTTGTGATTGGACTCGAGGAGCTGTCTCTCTTGCTGATAAGCCCTGGCCGACTCTTGTTGGTCCAATTTTTCTTGCTCTTCCAATAAAAGATACGAAGTTAGAATCTCCTTAAAGTTCTTATTGTTTCCTGTTGTTGTCTCGCCCTCGTCAGCTTCATCATTTGTGTTGTCTCTTCTCCTTTTCCTGCTGTTGTTGCCGGTGGTGGTGTTGGTATTCATTTCGCTGAGGGCGTCCTGAAATAAGCTGTAGAAAAAGGAGTAGTCTTCTTGGGTTGGGAGGGGCAAAGAAGAAGTTACTTTCATTTCATTCATATAGTGCGGTGGGGGGAGAAGACCTGGGGAAGACAGAGGCCGTGAGAAATTTTCTGGTAAGAGCAGAGAGAAAGATACAGATAGAGAGAGAGAGAGAGAGAGTTGAATCTGGAATTTGGAAATTCTGAAATGAGAATGACTATAGTTGTTGTGTGAATCAGTGAATGTGAACGCTGGATGGTGAAGGGGTTAATATATAGGTGTGTGTGTTGATGGGGTTTGAGGAAGGAGGAAGCGTGTGGGGGTGTGAACGCGGTTGAAGATGTTTCTGGGGAGGAAAGGCTTTTGGTAGGTGGGACGAAGGTGACTCAGGATGACGAAAGCCAAAGCATACGCGGTTGCTTATACCCCAACTCGCTTGATATCGGCCCAAAAGCCGAAAAAGAGAGCGTTTTTTTATCAAAAATCAAGAAAACAGTTCAACGTTTTGAAGCTGCTGCTGATTTGGACGTTTGGAACCACCGCGTGTGACATGAGGTGTACGAGATTGGATAGGAAGGTACGGGTGTAGAATCTCATCTCGTCAAATGTCCCTCTCTCTCTCGTGATCTGACACATAGGTCTTGTTAATCGTTCGGATCAACCCGATAGCCCGAGAGCACGTATTATTGGATCGGAATGGGCTTTACATATAATAAAAATCCATATTTAACCGATAACCCGATAGTCCGAGAGCAAGGTGCGAACCAGTTGGTTGGTAAAATCTTCGGCTGATCGTAGCAGAGACTTGGGAATCCCGCTGCACCTAGGTTGGGGGATGAGTTACCTCGTTGCGTAGCCCTTAAAAAAAACTTAAAAAAGATAGTGTAAAATTTATACTTGGTTTGTAACGGAAAGCAGGACCACTATTCCTCTTGTATAATCTCATGGATAAAAAAACATAAAACTTTTCTTGATTAAAAATTTTAGTTTCTAATTTGATTTTTCTTCTAATTGTGAGGGTATAAAATATAATTTAAATTATTATTTTTTACTTCTTAATTTTTTCTTATTAAAGTCTTTATATTTGAGATATTAATATATGTTATTTTTTAATAAATCCTATATTCAAGGTTTTCCCATCAATAAAGTTTTTTCTCATTAGGATCTATATATGATGATGCACAGTGTGATGCTCCTTGTTGGCGGATAGATTGGACGTTGGGCTGAGTAGATTGCTTGATCGAGTTGCAAGAGAGAGAGATCAAAGTGTTCGGGTTGCTTTATTTAGGGTGGTTACTCTGATGCTTAAGTTAGCAAACTAGAGATGTGATTGCAAGAATGCAAGAGAGCTAGAGTGCTTGAGAGCTAAATCGCATATAGCTTCTGAGGTTAGAAATGAGGGCCTTATATAGGCGGGCTGCCGTGAGCATCATGAAACACGTTCGGGATCTCTGACTCATCTAGTTCGGAGGTAGTTTCACGCCTGGAGGTGGACTCCATGTAAGTAGGTAGTGCTTATCCAGTTGCGCCCAAAGTGGGCGGGGGTGGTAATCGGCTCTTCCGACGTGGCGTCGTGATCCCGAGGAAGTCAGAGATGATAACCTGCTTAAGGAGGAGGTTGCTCGGCAGATCGCTAGTTGAACTTAGGTCAGGTCGATAGAAGCACGTCACCTCTCATGTTGACTTGATGTCTTGCCAGGGGCCAGGGTAGTTCGATGGAAGCAGGTTGCCTTTTACATCGACCTGAAGTCCTACCTAGCTGTTCACAGTTCGATTTACCAGGGTGGTGCCGAGGTCGCTAATGCAGTTGTGAATTGTTCAAAGTGGTTTGCTTACGTGGTGCCAAGGTGTCACCCAATTGTTATGCGATGCCATGTGTCATGATGTCATCGGAGGACCAAATTACCCTTCATCAATATCCAATACCGTTAACAATATAAAATTCATGCTAAAAAACATAAAACACAAAAAGCAATAAAAATAAAAGTTTTATAGAAAGACATTTTGGCATATCTCTAATATTGTATCAATGTTTTAAGACTTGAATTGGATCAGAGATCGAACTAGTTAATCCAAAAACCAACTGATTTGAATGATCCGACCTATTTTCCATGACCGACCTGGGTTACTAAGTAACTATAAACTTTAAAATAAGAATAGAAGGGTTTGAATTTACGAAAAAGTACGGACAGGCCCAATGCAGATTTCTGAATTCCATTGCACAGCTATAAACATTTAAAATGTCAAAGACCCCCACTCTATACATCAATGCCCACCCATGAATTGGCATCAATTCCGAGTTGGCACCTACTCCAGCTATACTTTGGGCATAGAAATTCTGACCCTGGGCTGAACCGTCATTCTCCCTTGAATTTAAGACCTCTTACATTTATTAGATTTTAACCATTAACTAACATGCCTTTTATGATTATTTGTCTCTTTTAATGTAAATATTGATTAAACACACGTATTAAAGCCTTGTTTGTTAAATGGTAAGTCATTTACTTGGATATATGCACTTACTCGGACAAATTTTCTTGAAAAATACTTGCCTAGGTAAGTAAATTTACTAGTTTTTTTTTTTTTTTTGTTTCCCAAAAGTTATACTTACCCACAAGGCCCCGTTCACTTTTCATTAAGTTATTTACCCGGGTAAATGCACTTACCCAGGAAAGACTTACCTAGGTAAGTGCATTTACCCATGTTCTTTTATTTCTCATGTAAATAAGGCAATGACCATTTTAGTCATAAAAATCCATTATTACAAGGGGCATTTTTGTCTCATTCAAGTGCTTACCCAAGTAAGTGATACCCAGGAAAATAAACTTTCCCTGATTCCTACATAAATCTGAAAAAAGAACATAGAATTCTTGGTCAATGGGAATCAAAATTCCATTGACTAACTTTCCCCCCTCTCAAAATCCAGAAAAAGAATGCCCCTAAAAGTGTTGTTGCATTAGCAATTTTCCACGCAAATGGGATAGCTACTTATTCAAATAGCAGAGTTGTGGGAATCATTCTTTTTCAGAGGACTCACTAATACTGAAACACAAATGTGGGTTTCTTCCTTTTCCATAGGACTCACCAACTTATTCACCCCCATTTAATGAAAAATGAACAAGACCTAAATAAAATGAAAATTGCAAGACTTGAACTTTAGTCATTTATACAAAAAAAACTTCTTAACCATCTAACCACTACCCATACACAAAATCTTTTATATATATTTTCTATACGACTCACAGTCAAGCTATTTAACCCAACGGTCAAATTGTTTAACCTATGACCCGACAACCATTCATGTTTTGTGTTCGATCAAAGTCTTAAAATACTTTATTGTATTTTCATCATACTAAATACAAAACAAGTGTGATGAATAATAATTGCTTTCATATATAGAAATATAATAAAATGTAAAAAATTTTGAAAACATGTTATTCCTACTTATTTTCATCATACTAAACACAAAACAAGTGTGATGAATAATAATTGCTTTCATATATAGAAATATAATAAAATGTAGAAAATTTTGAAAACATGTTATTCCTACTATTGTTATCAACATCATTTACAACTCTCATGTTCAAAGCACATGTACATTTGGTATTACTTAAATGCTTATACATGTTTCTTATGAATTAATAGGGGTGGCAAATGGGAGGATTGGGTTGGGTTGGGTTTGGGTTGAGTACCAACCCACCCATATTGACCCACTAACCCATTTGCCACCCACGTTAATGGGTTAAAGAGGGTCACAACCCACTCTAGCCTTGACCCACCCTAACCCACCCATTTGACCCTCTAATTCCAATTAAACTCTTTTTTTATTCTAATTAAAAAAGAACATAGATTTATAAAAGACTCAAATTTTTCAAAAAATAATAAATTCACAAAAAACACAAAAATGGTAAAAAAATATATTTCATGCAAAACATCAATTTTTTTAAAAAAATATAGAAAAATTGCAAAAAATGTAATAAACACACAAAAAATGATTATATATATATATATTTATATTTCATGACACATCAGAAATTGCAAAATATAAAAATAATAAAAATTAAATGAAAATATACAATTCAAATAAAGAAAATAAATTTAAATATAAAAATTGCAAAAAGTGTACAGATTTTCAGAGAATAGAATTTGTAGAAAAACAACAAAAATTATGAAAAACACAGAATTTTCAAATAAATAACAAAAAAACTACAAGAAAATATATAGATTGTAGAAAATAGAAATTGAAAAAAACATAGATTATAAAAAACACTGGAAATTATAACAAAAAATAAAAAATGCATAAAAAAACAAGAAAATGGAAATGTAAAAAAGCTCAAAAAGTATAAAAATTGTATAAAAACAAAATCTACAAAAAACACCATAAATTATATAAATGCAGGAAAATGCAAATAAATAACAAAAGTACAAGAATAAATATAAAAGTTATAGAAGAATGAAAAATTCTTTTAGAAAAATAACATCCGTTTGGAAATCTTGGCTACATTGCGAACCGATTTTTGAATGAATGCAGAACCATAGTTTTAGAGCAAAGAACCACGATTTTCAGTCTGTTGTTTGTTTGAGCTACCAAAGAGAGAAAATAGAAGAGCTTCGTCGTCGCTTCTACATTCGGTGTTCGGTGGTCCTTGAGCGGAGACGAGTGCCTATTACGCAAAGAGAAGTGGATACAATGTGGGGAAATGAGGGGAAAAAGAAGAGAGAGAGAGAGAGAGAGACACCTATCATTCATCGGTGTGCTATGCAATCTGGTCGTCGCATGCCGCTGCATTTCGTTCGCTGGTGGATGTGAAATTCCATTCGTTCGCTGCCGCTGCAATGGGTAACTCTTGACCCAATCCCACCCAGCTCCTTTCCCCCCCCCTCCCCCCTGGGTTGGGGTCAAGATTGTAATCCCTACTTATGATTTTATCTCTAATAAGATCATATATCACCATTATCATTATCATTATCATCCAAATATGGGATYTGATGATGCACAATTCGGCCGGTCTTATCTATCAACGACCTTGCCTCTGAACTGAGTAGCAGAGAATCTGAAACGGAAAAGACGAAGAAGCTCCAGGGGGAACTCGATGTAAAGGCTTCGAAGCTTAAGTTAGAATCCTTCAAAGGCAAGGTAAAACCAGATAGCACAAAGTTTGCATACCTCCTCTTTGGGGGTGGAGAGCCTTTTATAACCACTTCGC